ATGTTTTGAACAACTAATAAAAAAAAGAAAAAAGAAAAAAATTATATGTAAATAAATGCCCTTAATGGAAAAACAAAAGTTATGATACTTGTCACATATCTTTCGTCCCTGCCAGATTATAAGAATAATGGCAAGTCTATTTACTCAGCTCTCAGTGCCTAGGACTCAGCACAGTCTCTGGCACAGGCTGGGTTCTCAAATATCTGCAAAATAAATAAATGGACAAAAAAAAAAAAAAACATGAATTAAAAGAGTATCAGAGACTCTGTATATTCTCAGTATATTGCAGTCAGAGTTTGGATAGAAATCTGTTAGCCAGGCCATAAATTTAGTTTTTGTGGGTAATCTTTTAAACACCAAGTAGAAATGCTTAAGGCCATATTTCATTTAGACCACAGTTTTATTCGTGAAGAACAAAGAAAACTCTGCTGGATTCTCTCCTTAGTTAACACTAAGTAAATGTTAAGAGACATGAAATTAAAGTATTTTGCATTTTTCTCACAGAAGTTCTCCAGAAAGCATGACACGCGCTCAGGTTGGTTTTATTGTTTGTTCTTACCTTTCTACAACATGATTGAAACACAGTTCGGCTTGCATGGGCCGCTGCAGGTTCTTGAGGCAGCATCCTTTAAGTAACTGCACTAAGCACTCGTCATCTACAGAGTAGTCGCTAAAGTCTTAAAACAAACAAGAATCATAAACAAAAGAACTGCTTTTTTTTTTTGGTGGTGCTGAGGATCGAAACTTGAGCCTCATATATGCTAAGCAAGCGTTCTATCACTGAGCTACACCTCCAGCCCCAAAATACTTTTTAAATTAAGAGGAAACCAAAAAGCTACTAGGTTTCAGACAGATCATTCAAAAATTAAAACAGAAAAAATGCTTTTAGCATTTGTTGTGCCTCACTAAATACCACCATGAAAATATTTTAAATCAAGAGAACATTGAATTTACAACATTAGTACACCATTTTATTTAGGGGTTCACTCTATCCACTTAAAATTTTGCTTCAGGTGGTCACACTCAAATTTTGTGACTTTAGTTACAACCACAGGAAATGTAAACTCTAAATAAAGAGCTTTATTAATTCTGTAAAGGTAAAACCAGGAGGAACAAGAAAGCTGTTGTTTTGGCTTCTGTGTTGGCTTCGATGCAAAAGAGGATAGCACTTCCATATGGAGAAGCAGATGGCCTTGCACCCATTAAAAATTCAGGAAGTAGAACACCCTCTCCAGATCATTATGTTTACAACTTATCAATTCTCCCAGGTTATGTTCTTTTGGGGGGAAATTATGTTGTAAAATTAGACAAAACTGTTCTGAATTACATGAAAGACGCCAAAAATCCCCACAAACTTCTGAAGGTTTGAAGATAATGCATAGGATTTTCTTTCACCGTTTTTTTCTTTTTGAAAATGACTGCCTTCTACAGCTAAAGTCTAATGCATATTAAACAGAATGAAACCATACTGTGTGTGACATCATTTGACAAGGTATCCCACTCCAGATTTACCACTTTTGAAGGTTTCTTTTGTTTTGTTTTTTGTTTGTAAGTGATATGTAACTAAGAAGTCACTCCAAGACAGACTGCTAATTTACACATTTCAGACTGTGACAACAGAGGGGAGGGGTAGGAAAGAGAAATAATGAGGCCCTGGGAGTCCCTCATATTGAAATTATGCTTTCAGTACAAACCTCAGAAATCACCAGTGACACATGTTGGTGCTTTAGTTGGTAAACTCCATGTCTACAGGAGGTTAAGAATGCCATTTAGCCAACTAGAAGGTGATCACTTTGTTTCTAGGTGCTGAAAACAGCTGAAATTCACCTCTAACTTTCAAATGCTGATAGGTCATTCATTAAGAAAACCACCAATACCAACACCACATTACCTTTCCTATTATTTACTTAGGACAATTTTTTCCTATTAAAAAAAAAATCTATCCAGGCTTCTAATCATGGATGTTTGTTGAAATATATATATATATATATTTTTTTTTTTTT